AAAAAAACAAAAAGAGAAATATTTCTTAGCAATTAACAGGATGTTTTCCTTCCGGTTTTTTCTGAAAACAAAGGATTATTTTTTGAAAAATTAGCAAATTTCATCTCGATAGTCGGCAAAACCGGAGGTGCTTTTTTAGAAACACGCGATCTCGCCAAAACGGAAGCATCTCTTTCATTCTTAACTCCCAGGAAACGATACTAAAGAAAAACATTTGCTGATAGCTGACGAAGACTAATCATTTTCTAAACACATGTCTCTCAAAGATAAATTAGTTTTGAATGTCGCTGATTAATGCAATACAAAGAAATCTATGGTATATTCGATATCAAAGATGCTCCTCAAATACTTGATAACCAACCCATTTGAAGGTATGCCACCTGCCGGGCTATATTATATTATACCGGATTTGTTAGTTTCATCTTTCATTATATCTGCTTTTCCGGAACGAATATCACATTTGAATAAAAGTGGCGCTTCCGACACAAAAAAGGCGCAAGCTTTTAAATCGAAAAAAAAAAAAGGCCGTTGAAAACATTCCTGAGGCGCCTTCTGAGAACCCAATATCTTGTCTTAGATCATAAGAGGCTTTTATCGGTTCGGCTAATAAACAGTATTATTTGATTCGGAAAAATCTAACGGAACATGTAACAAACACACCATGAGGAGAAAACGAAAAAGATGTGTAAGTCTACCATTAACTTCAGCAAGATAAACAGCTCTTTTTGTTAGTTTTAAAGAAAATAAAACTAGGGAAAACTTAATTATGGAATTAGACGAAGGTCTGCTCCAATATTAATTTTACATATTTATACAAGATCACATGATCACAGCCCGCATTTTTCACTTTGATCAAGCCCAAAGCTGAGCTTACAGGAAACATCTCCTTCTAATTAAAATCACAAATGAGCTAAGGAAGTAATTTTGGGCTAAAATCTTGATCGCTTTGTCAGTCCGCGCGCTTTGCGACACCTCATGCAAGCTCGGAATGTACCGCAACTTAAAATAATTGTTAACAGCTCCGCTCAGCAGTAAAGAATTCTGACACAACGGGAGTTTACGTGACTACAGTGGCTAAGCTAACTCCGTTCTTCAGGTAATTGAATCAACGCAGATCAGCAGCGGTTTTTGGTCGGAAATGGCACGTTTACACAATTCTTGCTCTGCAATTTTAAGGATTGAGGGCTGGCGAAAAGTGCTTAATCTAGCGGCTTGGGTAACAAAGGACTCCTGGTGGGCGGGGTCAAGAACAAGACTCTCACAAGCTCCATCTTTGTGGTACACCACAATAACCTCATACCAAAATGTCGGTCAGTTTCGTGCGTTATATATTTGATAACATAAGGTTTGTTTACACACTCACCCGAACACAAGGGCTGAAGATTTGCATAGGCTGGGAGCCAGTTTTCGTTCTACGTTTTTACTGCTGCTTTTTTAATTTTGTTTTTTTAACGCAACAATTGCGTTTATCTCGGCTAAAGTATTACAACATTCAGCGTGGGGGCCTCTTTTGTAAAAGAAAGAATAAGGAAGAAATTTTTAAAGATGTGAATTTTGTAAGTACCTCGGAAAGTAACGCATAAGATTGGGGGAAAAAAATTGGATGATCTTCCTTCCACTAGAATTTCTTATTCCGCCCGTTCAAACACATGAATTCCAGATGATGCCTTGAAATGCTGAAAAATAAATAAGTAAAACTTTTAAGCCTACCATGTGAAAGTCAGAAAATAATTATATTTTTTCTTCTTATTTTTGTCCATCTGTTCAAGGTACAAGGTGATGCGCAAAACTGTCGGGTATGGGGGGGAGTGGACAACACTTTCAGTCGGCGGTTCTCGAGGAGGGTGGGGCGTCAGTCCCCGCTTCAATGTTAAAAAACCAGAAAAGTGAAAAGTAATTATTTCTGGACTTTTAAAGTTCTATTGCTCACTCCATTCTGGTTCAGCTCTTCATCTGAAAGACAGTATAGAGGAAAAAATCTTGAGAACATTTCAGCAAAAACGTTTTAAATTCTGCTCTAATTCACAGTACACCCGGATTCGAAAAAGAAAAAAATAATAACAAAAGCAATAGGATAAAATGGAAGAAAACGCATACGAGAGTTGATTCCCGAGACTGCGGATTATAGCATGAAATTTTTGTATGTCTTGTACATACGAGAACCGTGAACGTATTTGTTCGCAAAACAACTTCACATAAAATGACTGGTCTCGAATGCCGTGCCAGGACCTTGACTGTGCAAAGTTTATATGTAGAATTCCTCTCAACTGAATGGCTAAAGTTATCATTAACAGTTCTTATTTGCTCTTCTTTTCTCTGTGATTGAGGCCGCTTACTTGGATCTATTTTGAGTTCTCCTTGGTTTGATCAGCCTGAGCTGTGGATTAACTAAAAGGCGTGGCACTAAGGACATGGACACACAAGACAACTACGTGCTCGTTGCTGTGAAACAATTGTTGGCATTCATTAAATATAGTTATTATATAATAGTTGCTCTAAAAGACTTAAGAAATTTTTCTCCTTATTCATCTATCAAAGCTAGCATCAGTACGAGATATCTCCGTAAAAACGGATCTGATATGACAGATACGCATAAGCGCAAGCATCAGCATCGGTCCTTTACTACTGATTGTAACTAGTAAGGCGGGCACACCCACAAAATTAAAATCCGGATTGTCCATAAGCGCAACCCTGACATGTTTCAATGTGATCGTGAGCTGGGGAAACTTGCCAAAAAAAACTTTTAGGAATAGAAAACCACAAGAAATTTTTGTTCTGCTTTTTGATATATTTCGTTTGGGTTTTCTGTGCTTTGTGAAAGTTCTTGCAAGACAAGGTTTGAAGTTGTCCGTTAACACTCTATGAAGTCAACATAAGATGTGATTGGTGGTCTCTCAATATTTTTCGTGACTACTTGTAAACATCTGCGTCGTGTCGTATCTCACACCCGGTTTTCCTACTCCACGTCCTTATATAGCAAAAGCGAGCCACTGTAAAGGATAAAAAAGTTTAATCCTAATCCACGTGCATGCAGCCGTGTGGCTTCCCATGGGTTCTTCTGATCCGGGGTGGTTTCGCATCAGCATACATAGGAACATGAAACCTATGTATAAATGGGTGTGACGCAAGCACAGGAATTGGGTAAGTATCAGCATAGAGTCCGATGCTCACTTCCACGACAATAACAATCAACTTCAACGCGAATACTGGCTCTGCCTGTCTGATGTAAGTTTAAGCGCACGCATAAGCCAAGAACTTATTTGTATACCGGTGAAATGCGAGCATAGCTACATATTTGTAAACCAAACTTAAATCCTTAAACTTCTAAAAATTATTGCAAACTTACTTCCTGTCGCAGTTTAACTATGTCATCAGCCAAACAGGTGATGAGAGTGGGAAAAATCATCAGCTATAGTGTGTATCTTGATGACTTTAAATTCTCCCAACTCGTTTGTAAGGAATTTAAAAGCAACTGCAAGGGGGAAGTTGCAAATCAGATCTTGGAATTTTAGGTCAACCCAAATTCCCCTTCAAGTAAATTTAACAAATAATAAACACCACAGCGTACACTGTTGAGTTATGGATGCACGCGGGAGGTTGCTAAGCACGAAAGAAGCGTAAAGAGTCGCGCGCGGCGGTAGCCGAGAGCGACTCTAGCTTCTTGAGTGCTTAGCAAACCTCCCCGGCAAATAAACTAGTCTTTGTATTTGCTCACGTCAGCAGTGTACACCCATGGGCAAATGATGGACGCTGAGTTGACCAATCAGAGCGTGCGCTTTACTTTGGTTCTGTTATAAATTCTCTTGTTCCCCTTGAAAGCGTTTTTAGATAACGAAGATGAAAAATACGACAAGTCGCTATTTGTTTAAAGTCTGACACACGAGACATATGGAAGGCGAGATTCGTTAGCGTTAACGACTTGAACAGGATAATTCTCAATTAAAGTATTAGATAAATGATGGAGAAAATGAATAAATGAGTAAGAATTAATATATCTGATCCAGCAGTATTTATTAATTATTAGTTAAAATATTAGATAAATGATAAAGAAAATGAATAAATGAGTAAAAATTAGTAAATCTGATCTGGCAGTATTGATCCCCGAAGTTGTTCGACTCTTCTGTCGGAAAAACATTCATTTGTAACATCTTTAAGTACAATCTCCAGAGAGGGTATAGAAGGGCTCCTTAGTAAACTAGGTGACCTGGCTTGGTAAACTAGGTAGCCTGGCAGTTTGCTCTAGTTAGAGAGGTCCCCAAGGTGATCGTGTCGTGTTCTTGGGAAAGACACTACAACTCTAATGTCCTTCAAAAATAAACTAAAAAAATTATCATCAACAATTATTAACCTCTTCGTTTCCTTTTTCTTCTATTTTCTTCTTTTCATCCTTAATCCGAATCTGGCTTCATATCTATGCAATGTCATATATTAGTAAGAGTTTTATTTCTTTTGAGAGGAAATCTAACCTTAAATAAGCCTCGCGACTTCATTCAGGTTTCTCGCCATACACATGGCTGTATTAATTTAACTTGTCATGTTTAATCGTCAATTTTATTGTGGTGTGGCAAATGAATAGAAGAAATAAAAGAAACACTTTACTCTCACAAAGTCTCGCACTACAACCAAGAGTACAAAGGGGTGGCAGCGAACTATAAGGAATACCTGAGGGGATACTGGGAGGTAAAAAGCTATAAACCAGCACCTCATCCAGGGGAAACAACAGTACTCCTGGTCGCTTTATGCTTCGGAAAGTGTGGTGAATTCGGGCCAGGCAAACCACTTTGCTCGAAGCTGACCTTACCATTTCATTGTGGGGTTCGTATGGAAGGCTGCAGTGCTAGTTCGTCAAGTATTTGCCAACAATATTTTATACTAGAATGATACTTTCTTCAATATATAGAGACAGCAAGGGTAGGAAGGCCATTAGGTCGGCGCGAATGCGAACCTCTTGGTATGCGTTGCTAAAGAAAATAACGACTATCAGAACAATACACACACAATCAGGAGGAAAGGCTAACTCTTGTTATAACATAAAGAAAATAGTACGCATCGTCTGAGTGGTAATTCAGTTTCCAAGCGGGTGCTTTACTAGGTTATAGGGCCCGCATTTAATTAGTTCTGTTATAAAAGCAATAGGACGCATTATTCCGGGCTCTATTCCGTGACAAAGCCACTTGGGATGTTACGTGAACACTCGGAAAGCTCTTCCTTGTGTTCTTCCAACATCCCGAGTGGCTTTATCACGTTACAGAGTTCATTTTATTGTGTTCTATCATTGCTTTAATAGGTTACACATTATTATTAAGTTGGCGCCAAATAGGAAAACAAAGGGAAGGCAGTTTGCTATCCATGCCTATAGTGCCTTAATTCACAAACAGGCCTAACTCCAACCAGTTCCTCATTGGTTTGTCATTTTATGTTGCAAAGTTTTAAACACTGTTGGGACCATGGGCTATTTGAATCATAACATGAAAAGTACCCTTAACACTCGTCAACTTTGATAGAATCACCCCTCTCCCTACCCTTCTAAGGTTGAATTTTTTTCAAGTGGTGCAACCTTCTGTTACCAACATTGACATTTGGGAAAGGAGGAAATGTTTAAGCAATTGTGACAAGGATTGTACTTCGTAAGCAAATGCAACCACATATCCCTAAAAATTATATATTAATTATAGTATAGAAAGTCTGATTTGTTTTTTTAGCCATTACAAATCAACAACTTCTTCTGGTTAATGATTTGTCAGAATTAAATCTTGTAATGAAAACTTCATCCAAACCATACTTCAAAAGAAACTACGTTACCCACCATCCCCTCTTTCCAAGAAAACTATCCCGTGAATAGCTACGGTGAGGTATCTGAAACCCATTACTTGAAATAAGAAAGTTTAACGGATTCATTGCAGTTTTTGAAATGCTGCAAGGGAATTCTTATGTACAAGGGGACCTCTTTCACGATGAACTGTCATTAACAAACAAAGACTAACATTTCTTGAGCAAGAGCCATTTTGTTTCACCTAGACTACCCTTCGCTCAAGAATGCCGCCATTATTATTCTCCCTTGCTCTTGTTCTTGTTCTTCTTCTGTTTCTTTCCCTTCTTTTTCTTCTTCTTTTCTTTCTTTCCTCCTCCAAACACAATTGATTTCAGAGTTGACCTGTTCTCCCACAACGCCTTTGAGCCCTTTTTCCTGCACCTTCGGAACACCAAAGCAAATCATCTTCAACTTTCAAATCTATTGATCAAAGAAGTCTTACTCTAATTCGCGCCACAGATTGATCTAACTTGCGTCTCCAGTTTTAATCCTTTAACTCTCAGAGGTGATCAACAAGTAAATTCTCCCCATAATATCAATACTTTATCCAGCAAAGAGGTAATGAGAATACTTAAACTTAGCAGGTAGAAGTTGTTATCTTGATTGAACATCAAATTCTCATAACCAATCTACATGGATATGTGTAATACCTACAGGGAGAAATAATAATCAGATCGTGGAGGTTTAAGGGCTAAAGTTGCATTTTCAATACTGTGTCTTTATCCTTCACCGGTTTATCCGACAGAGTGGTTGAAAAGATAGGACATGAACCCCCCTCCCCCCTACCAAAATTTTGGACAAAACTTGCTCAGGATGATAAGTTGCAAAGACTACGTTCCTGGAACAATGTTAAGGATTCAATCCTTTCATCACTGCTTGACATTTACCAAGCACAGTATGCCCTTATTAATGTGGCTGAATCAAAATAATACCAATAGAACAGAATGACAGAGCTTATTTAATTTTCAACTCCGAGTGTTGCACTTCTAGTGCTTTGATTGGTTCACACAACTCCGGTTATCAGCTAATAATCCGAAAACCTTAAATGGAAATGCACTGCACCAACTGTTACGGGGCTGAAAGAAGGCTCCAAATATCCAAACGTTCAGGATTACATGAAATTTAATGAAACAACTATTCCATTTGCGCTTGTTGGACACGAGATTGGTTATAGCTAACTCGGCGTCTAGCACCTCGTTGGCGATTTACCATCTCAAATCTAACGCGCGGTTATGGAGTGATTGTTAATCAGCGCGCCCACAACGCTCCAGTACTGTTTTGCGTACATGCTTGTCTATTTTGAGACCTTCCATCGTGTCATACTTGACAAGAATTAGCATGATCAGAGGAAAAGCATTTAGAAACGATCCCATAACCCATCGAGAATTGTTTTCTTTTTCCTTTTTATGCAGTTGCACCGACCACTTCAGTGTTTTTTATTTATTTTTAATTCCATTTAAATGAGTAAGGCACCAAGTGGTTTCTGAATAATAATAATAATAATAATAATAATAATAATAACTTTTATTTATATAGCGCTCATATCCTGAGCTCACGGCGCTTTACAACACTGTGCGGGGGACTTTACCAGATTGCTGAGCAGTTTACAATCAATTAAAGGCGAATATAACAGAT